TCTCCCACCATAATCTTTCAAAGTACTCTATCTGTGATGGCATATGCTGTATGTTAGGTTAACATATGGATAGATTACCTTTGGTAATCTCATATCATTTCAAATGAAGACTTGTTGGCTGGGATGGATTTTTCAGGTGGCTCCATTGGAATTTCATTTAGACTTAATTTGGTTTGGGTAAATATCTCAAGGATCCAAGAAAGACCTTTTATCTTCCTAAAACCTAGAGAATGAGGTCACTACTCTGTAGGTTTCAAGTTTTCTGAGCCAAGAGGACTAGAAAGCACTAAGCACCAATTAAACCCTAAAGAACACCATGCCAGTTTAACTAGTATTCTGGTGCATAATTATTATTATTTTTTTGTCCGTTGTGGGTCTTGAACTTGTCCCTAAGCTCTTCAGCTCAAAGCTAGCTCTCTAACACTTGAACCACAGTGCCACTTCCAGCTTTTTCTGCTTATGTGGTGCTGAGGAATTGAACCTAGGGCCTCATGCATACAAGGTAAGCACTCTACCACTGAGCCATCTTCTCAGCCCTTCTATTGCATAATTTAATATATTATCTTGGTTATCCTAGCAATGTATCACTATTCCTGTCAGTTTCTATATCTAGTTCTGTTCTCTTTCTGAAAAGATTTGGTTATATGTAGAATACTTTTTATATATTTCCCATCTGTGATGACAGTTATAATCATTTTGACTTTCAGAGCGTATTATTTCCATATCATTTCCTGTGTCTCTACAACAGTCTCTCTATAGGAACTCCATAGAGTTAAGCATATTCATATAACCAGCAATAATTTGTCACTGAACACTGTAGACTCAAGCTTCAGATTGACCTAGAGAGGCAGTATTCACAGATGTATTCTTTCAGGTGAAAAATCTTAATAGCATGGTACCAACTTGCTTGTGTTTGTGACAAACTACTCCAAAAGTTACTTGATTTGTAACAGCTACCATTTATTTAGCTCAAGATGCTGTGGTTTGTAAATTTGGGTTGGGGTTAATGGAGTGGGCCAAATGATTAGTACAGGATTCGCTACCTCATTGGGGCTCATCTGGGCATCTCTGAGCAGCTACTGGGTCATCTGAGGAATAGAAACTGCCCGTCTGGTGACAGAGTGTGACCATTGTAGATTCTTGGTAGAGTTGAACTTGTTCTACATGCTTTAAATCCCCTTTCTTTGTTGTTGTTTTTTAATGTACTATGTGATTTTTTTTGTTTCCTTTATATGTTCTTCTGCCTATGGTGTATCCCCTGTTGTCTCTGTACTTGATTTTGGTACCCTGCACCTTGTATATACATTTGTGTAATTTGGGGGGAGGGGAAAGGGAATAACAAAACACTGAAATAAGGACACGGGATGACCCATTGCAATAATAATACCCACAAGACAGGATATTGGAAATAAACTTTACCAGTAAATCTGGGGGGGGG